AGTACTTCCAAATTGAAATTACAAATCAGTAAAAATGAGCCATGTGAAAATAATGTAAGCATTTCAAGGGCCCTTTTCTTCTATTTTATCAAATTACTGGCACATTGAATTTCCCAGACAAAAATACTTTTATAAACTATGTTCACAGCAGGATTAAAGAATGGTTGAATCATCCCTGACAATTTCCGCTACCAAAAAGAGGCAACTGAAAAAAGAGACATTTAGAAAGTAAATCTAAGTTAATGTGGCATCAAAGAATGAAAAAGAAACTTCTTACAAAAATGTTTTACTGACCAACATAGTTATGTTTTGAGGGAACATGAAAGGTATTGCTTTCATGGCTTTAACCTTCTTGTTCCTGTTTTGGGAAAAACTCTCCCTTCCGGGTTCACTTTACAATAATTGCTACAAAAATATAATTGCTGCTTTTTCTGCCCTGCACCTCACCTCACTTTTGCCTTTCTTGAGGAATGTTCTTAAGGCTCTAGAGAGATCTAAGATGGAAAATAAGAGTGGGAAAGAAATACTTGGAAACCAAGCATAACGAGGACTATCATGACATGTGACTAAAACATAGTTGTTTGGGGCCAGATCATGAACATCCAAGACCAAGAACAGTCGCTATTCCATCAAGGAGAAAGGAGAGTCTTTGAGAAGAGTGATTTGGCCAGATGCACAAAAGGTAAAGCTTCAGGACTGCCCTGAAAAGAATATGGAAGCAGGAAATGTTGGGATGCTCCTAGGATGGTTCCCAGGATATCAGTCAGGGCAGCAAACAGGCAGTGGGTAATTTAAGAAAGATAAACAAAGAATACTTGCAGAGACGTGGGCAGTTTAAGGAAACTAACAAAGAACGGTAGTGCTGCGTTAGCAGAGAACTATAATCACTCCTAGGCCTGCAGCAACCAAGGGAGCAGCTAGAGGAGCAGGAGGAGGATGGCTGCGTGGACAGGGCTACCTGATGGGAGCTGTGGCCTTTTGATGGACTTTTGATGGCAATCTGTATACATGCCCTCACTCTCTTCACACCTTCTGATCTTCTGTCACTGCCCCTGCTGACCAAACCCAGTTGGAAGCCAGGGACAGAGTGGAGAAAGAATATGGAGAAGCAGATGAAAGAGATCCAGTCTAGGAAAATAGTGGCAAGGTCATGGCAGTGGGAATGGAAAAGGTATAATACAGAGATAAACCAAACAAAACTTTTACATTGATTGGATTTGGAGATAAGAAGAGAAAAGTCAAGGATGATGTCATAGTTTCAAGCCCAAGTTCTAGACTAGAATGATGATAACATCAACTGAGTTGGTCTTTACTACTTCTCAATGCCAGCACAGTGCCTCAGGCATCAAAGCCTTCTATAAACATTTCCTGGGAGAAAAAGAGGGGCTGGATGACGGATGGATGGATGAATGGATGGATGGATGGATGGATGGATGGATGGATGGATGGATGGATGATGGAAGGAGAAGCAAATTTGGGAGATGATGATGTGTTATGTCGTTTTAGCCATACTGAGTTTAGAATATGTTGAAAAAGCCCAGTAGGTAATTGAAGATTTAATCCTAGAGCTCTGAAAAAGAAAGAAAGACGTACCTGTAAGAACCAGCTGCACAAAAGTGGTAGCTGACACCATGCAAGTGGATGATATGTCATAGAGAGCACATAGAGAGAAAAAGTGGGATCTGATGACCAAACTTAGGATCTCTCTGTATTTATGGGACATAAGGAGGAAGGGAAACCAACAAAGGAAAAAGACAATATATACCACCATTTGTTGTACTATTAATATATATTCATATATATTTCTACATCTCTGGTAGGCCTTCTTTTTCTTTTTTTAATGAAGGGGACTTTTATTTATTTATTTATTTCAGAATCAGGGTCTCGCTCTGTTGCCCAGGCTGGAGTGCAGTGGCACCATCACAGCTGAGTGTAACTTCAAACTCAAGGGAGCCTTCCTCAGCCTCCTAGTAGCTGGGACTACAAACACATGCCACCATGGCCAGCTAATTTTTTTGTTTTTTGTAGAGACAGGGTCTCACCATCTTGCTCACACTGGTCTCAAACTCCCGGTCTCAAGGGATCTTCCCGCCTTGGCCTCCCAATGTTCTGAGATTACAGGTGTGAGCCACCACACCTGGCCAGGGCCTTCTTTTTCTGGACACCGTATAGTCTTGCCTAAAATAAGAATGATACAAATGCAACCTGGAGACCACAACTTACTCACTTACCTCAGTAAGATTTTTTTTAAGCCCAAAATCCCAATCTTACTGTTTCTGCTCACCTTGAATCTAACACAATCAATATTAATAACCTTTAATTAGATAACCCTATAATGTTTATGCTTTCAAACAATCATTTATTGAATGCCTAATATATGCCCAGCACTACGTGGAAGTAAAAATCAGTCTCTAGTCTTCAAGGAAATTAAAATCAATTTAGATTATTAAAAAAACCACTGAATATGGCTGAGCATGGTCATTCACGCCTGTAATCCTAGCACTTTGAAAGGCCAAGGTAGGTGGATCAGGAGTTTGAGACCAGTCTGGGTCACATGGCAAAACCCCAGCTCTACAAAAAATACACACACATACACACACATACACACACAAACAGCCAGGTGTAGTGGCACATGCCTGTAGTCCCAGCTTCGTAGGGGGCTGAGGCAGGAAGTTCACTTGAACCCAGGAGGTTGAGGCTGCAGTGAGCCGAGATCGTGCCACTTCACTCCGGCCTGGGTGACAAAGTGACACCCCGTCTTTAAACGTCTTTAAAAAAAAAAAAAAAAAAAAACCACTGAACATAAAACAGAGCTCAATTAAAAGCTGATCTGTATGCTCCAGATCATACCATTTAACACTTGTCAACCTCTGCTCTTTTTTTCCCAATTCAGAAGACTGACAGAGAAGCTAACTCCTATATATCTGTACTTCCTATTAAAGATCCAATGATGTTACATTATATAGTTAATTTCTTCTTACCTTTCTTCCCCAGTATTCCGTCATAAGGTCTCAGTTATCTTTGCACCTAGTGTCTGGCACATGGTAGCCATTCAATTAAATGTGTGTCAAGTGAATGAATGAATAAGAAACCAAGCCAAGCCTGTAGCAGTCATATCAATACATTCAACTCTCTCCTATGGCAAATCCCAAAAGTTTAAGGCTCAAGGCAGTTAGCTAATATGTCTTTGACATAGCCTTGGCTACATGGGATGACTGATGTTAAAGCCTTGATGCTGAAGTTAAAGTAGATTCAGGGGGAAAAAAACCAGCAAATTCTAAAATGCTTTCGGATAAGAGAAAGGCTAGTTCAATGCTGAAACTAAACTGAGTCTATTTGCTAATTGCTGTTAAGTTAATTTCATTGGTTAATTCTCCAGCATAACCCCCTCTAGGATAAACCTGGCCCCCAGTGAAAGGAAGATAAATCCTGTAAACCACACAATCAGCAGTGCCTCTGATACTCAAATGTACATACTAGTCACCTACAGATCTTATTAAAATAAACGTTCTGATAAATTACATCTAGAGTGAGGCCTGAGATTCTGCATTTCCAACAAGCTCCCAGGGGATATTATGCTGCTGGTATGCAGACCACACTTTAATAAGTATCAAGAGCTTGGATGACAATCAGAGAACACATCTACAGACTTAAAGCCAGAGTTAACATATCGCTTGTTCTTATACTTCCTAGTTGCATAACTTTAGATAAGTCATTTCACCTCTCTGAGCCCTCCTTGTTTCATCTGTGAAAATAATATAGCTAATATAATAATTAATAACATAGTTAATACTAATAGCTAACACATATTGAGTTCTTACTATGTAGCAGGAACTAATGTTTCATGTTTGTCAATTTATAAATAAGGCTTTAGGTCAAACATCCTCTCCAAGTAATTGTGACCTGATACCTGACTGTAGGCCGTTTGACTCAAGAACCACCGCAGAACACCATGCAGCACTGCCTCTTCAGCTTAGCTCCCAGAGCCTACGAAAACGAAATAATAATCGGTATTTAGCTAACTTGTATCGAGTACTCATATGCTCCAGGCCCTCGTTTAACCCTCCCTTGGAAGATATTAACTCATTTATCTTATAACCACCCTAGAAAGTATTTTTATCCTTATCTCACAGGCCTTAAAATGGCCTCAACAAGTAAAATTGCTGAAGGACCAACAGTGGCACAGTCAGGATTGGAACCTAGGCAGTGCAACTGCAGAGCCTGGTGGAGAGTGTAACTGCAGAGCGTAGCGTAGTTTCAGCATTGTACTAGACTGATTGAACTAGACTAGGTTCTGTAACTGCAGAACCCCGGAGCTCCAAGTCAGCTAGCTCGCTAGGGTCGGTGCACACCTGCGCCCACTCGGGGCAGCTTCATTGCCAGAGCCACTGACTCCCAAAACAAAACCAATCTTCTACAATTAGCTCTGTGTGTATCTGTGGGATGTTATGTTTCTCGTGCCACAACTAGGAACCCTGAAAGCAAATTATGACTCCGGTGAAACAATTTGGCCCTAAGAAGGGTGATTGTCTAAACATCTTCACAACGGATTTACACAGAAATTGTAAAATGCACTTGATTGGAAACCCACACCACAGGCAGTCCCAGGAATTTGTACCCGCCCTGGTCCTGGACCGCCCCTCCGGATTGCGCCCCAAGACTGTCCCCGGACCACCATCCTAACACCACACCCTGAACTGCCCCCCCAGGACCGCCCCCTAGACCGCCCCCTAGGACCGCCCTCTCTAGACCGTCCGCGAGACTGTCCCAGGACCGCCCCCTGGACCGCCCCCGCGCCCCGCTGCATCCTGGGAATCGTAGTCCCAATCCTGCTCTGGAACGAGTAGTGCCGGCTGCTGGCGCCAGCTCCGCCTCTATCAGGCGTCCGCCTAAGGTCCCGCTTCTAATCCTATAATCTCTCCATACCGCCCTCTGCCGGCCTTTCCTCTGGTTGCCCGGATGGCGAGCCGGTTCCGGGCGCTCCGGAAGCGAACCTTTCTTTTCCGGATTGGGCATCCCGGCGTCTGCACGTGGTTATGTTGCCGGAGTTTGGGCCGCCGCTGTAAGAAAAGTAACTTCAGCTGCAGCCCCAAAGCGAGTGAGCCGAGCCGGAGCCATGGAGGGCCAGAGCGTGGAGGAGCTGCTGGCAAAGGCAGAGCAGGACGAGGCAGAGAAGTTGCAACGCATCACGGTGCACAAGGAGCTGGAGCTGGAGTTTGACCTGGGCAACCTCCTGGCTTCGGACCGGAACCCCCCGACTGGACTGCGGTGCGCCGGACCCACGCCGGAGGCCGAGCTGCGGGCCCTGGCGCGGGACAATACGCAATTGCTCATCAACCAGCTGTGGCAGCTGCCCACGGAGCGCGTGGAAGAGACGATAGTGGCGCGGCTGCCGGAGCCCACCACACGCCTGCCGCGAGAGAAGCCTCTGCCCCGGCCGCGGCCACTTACACGCTGGCAGCAGTTCGCGCGCCTCAAGGGCATCCGTCCCAAGAAGAAGACCAACCTGGTGTGGGACGAGGTGAGCGGCCAGTGGCGGCGGCGCTGGGGCTACCAGCGCGCCCGGGACGACACCAAGGAGTGGCTGATTGAGGTGCCCGGCAATGCCGACCCCTTGGAGGACCAGTTCGCCAAGCGTATTCAGGCCAAGAAAGAACGAGTGGCCAAGAACGAGCTGAACCGGCTGCGTAACCTGGCCCGCGCGCACAAGATGCAGCTGCCCAGCGCAGCCGGCTTGCACCCTACCGGACACCAGAGTAAGGAGGAGCTGGGCCGCGCTATGCAGGTGGCCAAGGTCTCCACCGCCTCTGTGGGGCGCTTCCAGGAGCGCCTCCCCAAGGAGAAGGCGCCCCGGGGCTCTGGCAAGAAGAGGAAGTTTCAACCCCTTTTCGGGGACTTTGCAGCCGAGAAAAAGAACCAGTTGGAGCTGCTTCGTGTCATGAACAGCAAGAAGCCTCAGCTGGATGTGACAAGAGCCACCAATAAGCAGATGAGGGAGGAGGACCAGGAGGAGGCCGCCAAGAGGAGGAAAATGAGCCAGAAGGGCAAGAGAAAGGGAGGCCGGCAGGGACCTGGGGGCAAGAGGAAAGGGGGGCCGCCCAGCCAGGGAGGGAAGAGGAAAGGGGGCTTGGGAGGCAAGATGAATTCCGGGCCGCGTGGCTTGGGTGACAAGAGAAAAGGAGGACAGCGCCCAGGAGGAAAGAGGAGGAAGTAATAGTTTCTCACCGTCGGACCCGACTGAAAACCAAGGACTATAAATACTAAGTGTTAAGTTCTAGGTACTTGTACGGGGACTCAGAAGGACCTGGCCGCTGCCTTCATTGAGTTTAAAGGGACAGGATTGCCCTTCCCTCAAGAGAGTATGTAAGTGTTGGACTGCAGAAATTAATGATTTTCCCACAACCGAGACTTTGGCTGGAGATTAAGAACTTATTTGAGGATTTAAGAAGTAGGGAAATAATTTGGTGGAAACCAGGAATGAGTTCTGTTCTTAAACAGCCTTTTTTATTTTTAACTTTGGCTATAGAGTGAGGTAGAGTTGGCCATATTTCAGACTTAGATTGACGTATATGTTTCTGCATTATTTTTACAACAAGCTTGTGTATCACAGCTGGGGGTGCGGGGAAGGGAAAGAAAACAGTTTCAGAATTGGATAGGCAAGTGACTGTTTTAAAGGTTAAGTAATAAAGATGTCTTATCTAGTGTGGCTTTTAACTTTCTGACTATTGGGTAGAAACTGTACATGAAGCCAGTTACCTGGATACCTGGTACAGATTATTTTTGTTTACTTTCTAAAAAACACAAAGCAGGCCGGGTGCAGTGGCTCACTCCTATAGAGTCCCAGCACTTTGGGAGGCAGAGGCAGGCGGATCACCTGAGGTCAGGAGTTTGACACCAGCCTGGCCAACACAGTGAAACCCCATCTCTACTAAAAATAAAAAAATTAGCCGGACATGGTGGCTGGTACCTGTAGTCTCAGCTACTTGGGAGACTGAGGCAGGAGGATCGTTTGAACCTGGGAGGCGGAGGTTGCAGTGAGCCCAGATCATGCCGCTGCACTCCACTCCAGCCTGGGCAACAGAGGGACCTCAAAAAAAAAAAAAAAAAAAAAAGCAATTAAATTATAATAGTTTCAGTGAGACCACTTTTAAACTTATACTTCTTTTGGTATCAAATATAATATTCAAAGTAGTAAAACCAATGGCTGTTTTTTTAAAAAGATTTTATGCTTTTCAACACTGAACACATGGATTTCCTGTAAATGATCAATTTGGGCTTCATTGACTAATGGTAACAATCCTCATTAACCCAGAAAACACTTAAATCTCTCTGCATTTGTATCCCCAGGGGTGTGTGTGTGTGTGTGTGTGTGTGTGTGTGTGTGTTTGTTTTTAAGCTTGACGTCAGGTATAGTTTTGTTTGGGGAAGAAAGAAACAGACCCATAAGATTCTTAATTAACACATTATTATCGGTTTGTTTTTTTTTTTAAGTTCCGGGGTACATGTGCAGGATGTGCACGTTTGTTACATAGGTAAACGTGTGCCATGGTGGCTTGCTGCACCATCAACCCATCACCTAAGTATTAAGCCTCTCTGCCCCCTTCTGTCCCCTGCCCCCAGGCCCCAATGTGTGTTGTTCCCCTCCCTGTGTACATGTGTTCTCATAGAACATTATTATCTTTTGATTCATTGGTCAAGTTGGCCTGAGCTGGTTTGGTTAGGAGGTGAAATGTTTATGTAGCTGTCCTTGGTCTTCTTCCTGTCCATCAGTCTCTTCCAGTTTGATCTCAAATTCATTTCTACAAAACTTAGTATCTCCTGTAAAGGATTCAGATTTCATAATAACAGATTACTAAAAATGCACATGTTTAGTTGTTACTGCCTTTGGATACTTTCTGATAAAGTTGAGCTTCGTCGTTAATCAGCTTTTCCACTGGGGCGTGGCAGATATGGCACTGCCAAGCCCTCCCGGAGCATAGCCTAATCATGGCAAGTTTTAACTATTGATGAAACCATTTTGCTTTCATCAAAAGCAAAGCCATTCACACAGTATTTAGCAAAGACCCTCAGGCTCTGCTAGGTTCTTGTTTACTGTTAAAACAGTTTAAAGGCAGGGTCTTGATCACTTAAAATACTCCCAGAAGGGAAAGTAATATTTTAAAGGATTCACAAATCCTTTAAACATGGAAAAAGAATGTCCCTGTTCCTCTCCCTTTCCCCAAGTCCTCAACATGTGAAAAATAGAGGATAAGTAAAGAGATTTAAGGCCGGACCCGAGGCCCTGCAGAGCAGTTACCTTCTACGGCAATGTCTAGGATGGATGGTGCGAGTGCGGCTGGGGCAGCTGGGGTGCTGGTTCTTATTCCGTGGGAAAATGGCCCTGAGCCCGACTGGGCTGGGGCTTAGACAGGTGACCCGGCGGAGCGGGTGGGCAGGCGCGGCCGAGGGGCGGGAGGCGAGCGGCCTCCGTGATTGGCCGGCGGAGGGGGCGGTGTAGGACCCGGGGAGGGTAGAGGACTCCCAGCGCCATGGCCGCAGCCGCCCGGGCCCGGGTCGCGCACTTGCTGAGGCAACTGCAACGCGCAGCGTGAGTGCGGGGCCGGCGGGCGGGCAGGGGACCGCAGGATGCCACTGTGCCCACACAGTCCCCTGGGTGTGACCGGCTCGGATCCTGCTCAGTCTTCTCCGCTTGCTTTCAAGAATTCGGGGAAAGGGATACCGCCCTGAACTCCCACCGCGCGCCAGGCGGAACAGCCAGGTCACAGAGTGCGCGATGCAGCCTCGCAGGGCGCAATGAGGCAGCCTTTACTCTGTCTACCGTTAAGGAAACTGAGGCCAAGAGAGGACCTGGTCCCACATCGTGGCAGGCAGTGGAGAGCTTGGCATGGTGGCCAAGACAAATTCATGTATGCAGTTGACACATATTTACTGGGCATATATTATGTGCCAAAAGCTATTCTAGGTTCTGGGGATACAAAGATGAAAGGCTCTGGAGCAGTTTGAGGTTTAGTGGGGAATGGGATGAGGGGACGAGGCTAAAACCGGCCACAGCAGACTGGGTGTAGAAGGGAAGGATGGATGTGAGAAGTCGCAGAGTCACACTCCTTGGCATGTACGGGGAGTCAGGGTATTCAATGTTATGACACGCCTGACTCCCTGCAGAAATGCGAGGTACATCCTGGTCACCTGACAAATACTTGCTGACCATGCAAGTGCATAAGTCTGTCTGGAAAACATGGACAAGTTTGAGCTCACAGGTGGAGATCAGTAGGAGGAAAGGCGAGGGACTGGAGAGGAATGTCAGGCAGAGAGAAGAGCAACACCAGCGATGGAGATGCAGTCCCAGGACACAAAAGTCAAGTAGACCTACCTTCATAGGAGAAGACAGCTGATAAAAGACCGTGAATAAGAATATAGCTAATACCATGAGCCAGGCAGTGTCCTACACACTTTGAATGGACTATCAGCATAATAGTAACTCTAATCCTTTCACTGACCCTGTGACATACGGTATTGTCATCCTCATAGATACGGAAATAAAGACATGGGAAAGAATTTGTCCAGCGTCACACAGCTAAGCAAATGACACAGTCATAATTTGCACCCAGATACTCTGGCTTCCCAGTCCTTGTTCTCAGGCCTGTACTAAGGAATTTGAATTGTGTCCTGTAGATAATGGAAAGCCATTGAACAGTATTTCTCACCATGAAACATTGATACCTTAAAATGTCCCATAACAAAAGAATTCCATGGCCAAATAAATTTGGGAAGCTCTTTACTGCTGTATCGCCCTCTTGGAGAATCAAAATATACATTAGACATGCAGGGGTCTAAGAAGCTACAAAAAAAAACTAAAGCTGTGTTGAAATTTTTGGTTCTAAACCTGTGTCATAGAATTCTTTGTCACACAACACCATTCATTTCCCATGGAATCAGTGTCACACACAGAATGTTTTTGGAACGGTTGCATGAGAAGGGAGTATGGCATAATCGAACTGCGTTAGCGCATTCTGGTGGAAATGTGGAGTGAAGAGGAAGGACTAGAGGTCATTGTCCTGCTCCAGTCTAAAGATAATGGCTTCATGCACGGAGAGGCAGTTCCTTGGGAAGATAGAAATGTTGAGAGGTTGGTTAGAATCCACAGGATTTTGTATCTGAATAGTTAAGAGTTGAGATTTCTGGCTTGGGCACCAAGTAAACAGTGGGTTCATTTACCAAGGCAGGGACTGTAGGAGGGTTAGTGTTAGGAGGAAGATGGCAACTTCAGTCTAGGGCATTTTGAGTTGAGCATGCTTCTGGTACATTCAGATGGAGACCCTCAGTAGGTGATTGAAAGCATTGTTCTGGGGCTCAAGAGTGAGTTGGGAACTCATCCATCCATGTGTACAGAGGACAGTTGAAGCCTTAGCAAAACTCTAACCTAGAAGGAAACAGCTGAGGGTGAATTCCTGGGGAGCAGCACTGCCACAGCAGGAGTAGCAAGATGGTGCTTTCTTCTGCACGTGCTTATTTTTCTAATAGGGTAAACATTTTAAAAGTGGGAGATTTCCAATGAAAATCTTGGAAAATTGGAAAATGACATCATTGGGCCCATGTTTCATTGGGGAAAAGTGGTCTAGGGCATGGGGTGATGTGTGGCCACCTCTATTGGACAGAGCATGCACTCTGGGCTTCTGCCCAATGCATTCCATAGAGCAGCTGCACTGACAACTGAATGGAGGGGAAAGAACCAGCACTGAAGAAGACAGAGGCAAGGTGTGGCCTGGCCAGAGAGGTTGTGGGAATGCCCTAGAGGGCAAGAGTCATATTCTCTCTCCAGATGTGCAGCCCTTAGCTGGGCAGGGCGGCGGGTGCCCGTGGTCCCAGCTACCCTGGAGGCTGAGACAGGAGAATCACATGAACCTGGGAGGCGTAGTTTGCAGTGACCAGAGATCAGGCCGCTTCATTCCAGCCTGGGCTACAAAGCAAGACTCCGTCTCAAAAAAAAAAAAAAAAAAGAGATGTGCAGTGCAGCCCTGCTTTGGCTGTGTTCTCTCTGGGGTACAGCAGGGAACAAAACAACCTAACCATGCCATGCATGGGGCACAGGGGACAGATGACAAACTAGTTAGTAAAATTGAGAGTACATTAGCTGTTGACAGTTATTAAAGAGAACATAAAGTGGACTGGAACATTGAAGGAAGGGATGCAATTTTTGAGGTGTTCAGAGCAGCCCTCACTGTGTTAGTTTCCTACAGCTGTTGTAACAAATTATCATGAACCTGGTGGTTTAACACACATTTATCTTCTTAACAGTTCCAGAGGTCGGAAGTCCAAAATTAGTTTTACTAGGCTGAAGCCAAGGTGTGAGCAGGGCCACACTC